CTGCACAAAAATATAGCAACAGACAATTCATAATTTTTCAATTTATAGAAGTTTTTTTTTCACACCTAATTATTTTTATCAGATATATTATACTCATAAATTAAGAACTATGGGGTATATATGTATAGCTAAATTGGCATTCTAATTCTACAAGTACAGAGTGAATAATTGATGTCTTTAGTGGCAAAATCAATACTACATGAACAGCAATTATTTATATTGATAAGATTGTGGCTATGATTCAGTAACTATCTAAGAAAGAGTTGTGTGCATAAATATGATGCTAAAGTATGGCAAGTGGTATGTGTATTATCTGTTAGTTGTCATGAATAAGCAAACTAATCTATATATATAATAATTAACATATGTAATATGTATGTAAACTCCATCACTCTGATGGCAAAAAAAATTAGACTGCATCTGTTTTGCCATGGAGAAGGTATGATTGATGATGATGAATATTTTAGAATTATCATGCTTGAAGCATGTAAATGTATAAAATCAATACACTGTTTGATCATATTTGGTGTGCAATGGATGAATAGTATCATATACCATATATCTTTCATCATGAAAATGTGCATACACAAAGATTTGCAGGGAAAATGGCAAGGCCATGGGGCCATTAAGGGCCAATTCCATTTGGAAAGAAGTACTGTTTTCAAAATTGCATTTACACAGTGAAGCAGAATCAATATCAATGATTCTTCTAATGATTGAGATGACAATGATGATTCTCCAAATGTAGAAATACAGATTGTTGGTGTTTTCTAAAAATCAATGATTTAAGCATTACAAGTATTTTTTTTCAAGACATCTGCACTAGGAATATACGTTGTTTCAAGGGGGACTTTACAAACATACATGTAATGGACACAAAGAACACCCAGATTCAGAACGAAAATTTGTGGATTACACAAACTGTCATCCCATGTGGGGATCGAACCCACAACACTCAGCGTAGTATGTATCTTTGTCCAGTGTGCCTTATTGCATTAGCCTCCTGCAATGCCTTCCCATGCAGAGAGCAACGACTGCCACAGCTCTTAGCCAAAGAGGAACCTCAGGTCATTTTCTGCTTGTCACCTGATTACTAAAGTTTACATACTTATAAGTGAGCAAATGTCCACTCCATCTCCATTTTAGTTGGTCACTATGTGCTGTCAGTTTTGTTTTGCACCTAATATCAATATGCCTAACTTAGGTATTTTAGCCCTAGCATCTTCCTTTATTTCCTCTTTGACATTTTGCAAGTTTATCCATTAAGGCCTGCGAATAAAATGTCCGCCGAGAACTTGTCACGGAATCAACGCACATGGTGTGCGATCATTTAGACGCCACACGTACGTCACTCTCGAGCATTGAACGCTAACTAAAGTTCGCTGGTGTGCGTTGTGCTTAGTTGCGCCTAGTCACATTAGTTCTATTTTTTCGGGGATCCCTGTACTTTTTTCTAGTCCGTTCTATCGATGTTTGGTATTCAATACTGTTGTAAGGGGTTTATTGTGAAGGTACGAAAAAGAACGCCATTGATTGTTCCTCGTCTGCGCGTGCCCTAAGCTATTTCTTCAAGTTCACAACCATATGTATGGGAAAATACAGGTAGGTATATTCCGATGCAAACTTAATGGCGGCTCTGAAGTTAGCTGCGTACTCAAGTGGGCGCAGGTACCAGTCAAGTCGACTCGACTATACGTAGACAGGAATATGAATATAATATATACATATATAACTCACACACTGAAAGGCATGCGTGTCATGTGTCGCCCTGCCCCCGCGCTCCTTTATGTCCCGCTGCTGTCTATTATTGTGTTCTGCACATCGAAACGCACGATGTTCCGAGCCGCCATTAAGTTTGCATTACTTATCGTCTTTTTCTTGATCTTAAAACCTTGTTCCTTGCTTTTTACATAATTTCTTACAAGGCTCTAAACCTAGTGGCATTTCTTTAGACTCTTTATCTTTTACTCTTTTGCAAATTTCTTTATTCTATATTCTTTAAATATATATATCCATTACATATTCTTCCACCAATTTTAATGTCTGCAACTACTGAGTTGTCACTATGTCATCATTTATATCTTGCTCAAATACATTTTAGATGTATTATGATTCTGTCTGTTTGGGTTTGTAGCATGGATTTCAGTACACTTGGGTACTATTCTGATATAACCAGGTCATGCCAAGGGGATTTCAGGTTGATGCTAACTTCTCTTTCTCTACGCATAAAAAACCATTCTTGAGTCTAAATGCACAAACCGGAGATCACCACCAATACCAATAGCTTCTCTTTTGCTGTAAATGTTTCTAATGATGTTTGCATAACTGTTAAGGATCCCTAGCTCCTTAAGACTGCCATTTGAATTCATTTTTGAGGTTGTTGAAGACTTTGGATTAAAATACTAGGACTAGCCTGTAGAATAACTTAAACATGCAGCTATTGTTAAAAATAAAATGTGTTCCAACATCAGACAGACAGAATAGCTGCTATGATGATCAACAATGATATGATGTCATTAATTATTATTGTTAAATTTCATATAGGCTATTGCTGTATTACAAGTCTGTTTATAACCATGATAAACATAGAAAAAAGGTTTCTAAATATCTAAGATTGCAATGAAATGATGTTGTAGTATTATCATAATGATTTATAATTAACTTTAAAAAAAATTTAACACTAACTTCAATATGCCTACAATATTGTGAATTAAAATGAACTGTATTCTTCATTTTCCATCCTTGGAAGTGGTGGTATTTAAATTTGGTCTTTAAATTTGAACGGTAATTAATTAAAAATATATAATTCCAAATAAAATAATTTTCGAGATTGGTTAAGAAAAGGCCTAGTTTTGAGGTCACAAACATTAAAAATATATTGAACTGAAGTAAAAAGCACAAAAATAATTAAATAAGTGGGCTAACTGATTCTATTATACATAAAACAATACCAAAAAGACAAGAGATAAGCAGAAGTTTTTGTTAAGACCATGTAATATTATTTGATCAATGCCCAAATGGGCCAGCTTGATCGGAGTGATACCATATCCTTTCAGAAAACCAGTGTTAAGCTATTTTCTCATTGATGTGATGTGTTACCGAGTGAGAGATGTTGCCATATTTCAAACCATGCAGGGTTTGATCTAGGGGGTGAACTCAAAGGGTCTTTATGGGTGGCAGTAGTCTCTTACCATCAGGAACCAAATGCTCATTTGCATTTAAAGATTTATACTAAACATCAAGCAAAGCATATATTTGCTCCATTTGTATTTTTGCAGGTTTCTGGTTAGACAAATTATTAAAGTTTGACTAAATATTAATAGCTCTAAAACTGTAACTGACTTGTTATTTGTCTGATGTAATAGCTTTGTAAGTTTCAGTGTCCAAAGTCAAGACCTCTATGACCTAGGACATTGTTTGGACGTAGGAATCTTTAAGACTTTGTTCGGAGGAACTGTTAATAAAAATCGGAGCTAGTATGTCTGCAATGATAGCAGCTATGCCCCTGAGATTAAAAAGGTGAATCGAGATGGCAATAGATTTATTTTAAACAATTTTAGGAAAAGAAGAGAAATTGGTCTCAAAACCAAAATTAGATTAGTACGAGACGTGGTATTCCTAATCTTCCTATATGGAGTTGAAATGTGGACAATTCTGACCAGTGAAATACAAAGGCTTGATGAATTCAAGATATGACACTGGAAATGCAACAATCACCAATCTGGATCAAGCTCGGAATTAAAACACAGACACTTATGTTTTGGGCACACAGTGCACAGAGGTGATGGAAATTTAGAAAAACTCATAGTGGTTAGAATCATCAAAAGGTCGTTGGTCCGACAAGGTGGACAAACAAGTTAAAGACTTATTGTCCCTCAATCGGTATACAGTCTTGAGACATGCTAGGCTTTAACCGCTGAAGAGAGATCATCCATTCCAGATGCAACCCTGATGCTAACTACGATCCTCAGAAATGAAAGATCCTCATATCTGAATATTGATCAGACACAGAGAGAGGGAAGGGAAAACATTAATGGTTTAATATTTAATGCAAATATGCGTGAGTAAGTGGCCATTTTGTTCTCAATGTTAAAAATGTTGAAGACGAAGAGCCGTTTATCATATAACTGAAATATTAGATGCTATGACATTTTAAAAACTCTTCAGGTTCTCAAAAGGCATTCAAACAGGACTAACTTTCAAGGCGTAAGACTAGTATTCTCATCCTGTAATTCAACATTGCATAAGTTTTCCATGCTTGCATATAATAAGAAAGTTGGTCTATAACAGCTCTTATCAGGCACTACTAAAAAGTATATTCCTTCTTAACAATTCTTCGTTATTGACTTTAAATAAATTCATGTGCTATTAACATGCTAAAAAATTTAAATTATGAAAATCTCATCTGTTTCAGTGTAAATTTATGTAGTTAAGTTATCTCTAAACAAATTATTAGCAATAAGAACATTTTCTTTAAGAACTTTGGACCTTTGCCAGTAATTATATCCACCATTGTACTAGTGAAAGTGATTAAAAATAAAAGCATTTACCTTACTTCCTACTATAGATTAATATAGAATGGCACTACAGAACTAGCAACTCTGTATGAGACGAATGTTGAACCAAATACTAGAACGAAAGTGACAGTTTACAACATACGACTTAGGTTGTAAATTGCAGTTCATAATTAGTACGGTTTGTGACTAGTGTACTGGGATCGCCAACAGCTGATCAGACGGCTATATTAATCGTATCGAATAAGAAACAAAAGTAGGCCAAACATCTAGACTAGAGCACCGCGACGCGCCGCATCGCACGCGCCGATCTAGCACCACACAACACCGCACAATCTAATTTTTGTTTACACTGTCAGCGCATCCACGTTCATCATCCTCCTAAAAACTGTCAACGTGACAACGAAATGTTCGCAACCAAGCGAGCACTGGCCCCAACAACAAAGACATGTCAGCTCTAAGTACAAAGATGGTTAATTTAGTTACCTCGGCGGCCCTTGGCGATTTTTGCGCTTGTTATTCATTTCTCCTTCGCCCGACTGCCCCGGCGGGTAGGCACCTTCTCGTCTACGCGTAGGGACCGGAATTTTGGCTAATTGTCACTTCTTTCTTTTACAACACAGTCCACACAACTTTCGCGGATGCACAATTGCAGTAGTTATTAGGAATTAAAACTCAAAATGCGACGACAGGGATGCATCTATTCCACTAAAGTTGCTTTACATTTGCCAACAAATATAATTTATAATATATTTGAGTACAAAACCGCAGTTCGATTTATTCTCGGGAACTAATCCCGGAAAATAAACGGGTTGGCAGATTTCTCGTGCCTGCAATCAGCGCAGGAATACAACATGGCGCTGTGACGTATTCATTAGGGGAATTGCAAAATTGTATAAACACATCGATTAATTCTCAGAACACAATAATCAGTTTCATAAAAGTGTAATATTTTTTTAAATTAACTTTTTTAATTAATTCCGTCACACAATATATAGAAAAGAGTAATAGGGTCAACGATTGACCGACTTCCCACATTAAAACTTTCAATATGGCGGAAAGGTATTTGACTTTTAGTGTTGCCAAATACTAAGCAAGTTAAAATGAAATAACAGTGAGGCTATCAATGAAAAATAATCAAGCACAATACTTAAGAAAATAGAAATTTCTAACTACTTCCCGATGACTTAAAAATTTAAATACAGCATGATATTTATTTTAGTGTTTTAGAAAATATTAAATCCATAACTATTTTTTAACAAAAAGTTAGGACTGCTTCAAATTACTAATAACAGTCAATAACACCATGCTATTCCTGTAGGTATATATCAAAATACTTTAATTTTGAACACAAAATCATAATACTTTTAATTGCTTTCAGTCTGAGGAAGTTTTATTTCAGTGTGAAATGAAAACAAAAAAATCCAATTTATTTGCTGTACCTATCTCTTTGGCTTCCTCAACTCAGAACGGCAACATTTAGAAAAAAATTGACAATCCCGCGCGCGCGCGAATATTCGTTCCTATCAATACACCGTCGCCTTTATTATTGATCGCGTTATGCGAGAGTAGGTCATCAAGATGAGTCTCAAACACGGAGCAAAAATGTCTCAACGGGAGAAGTTTGAGTTAATTAACTCAGAAGTGCGTTCGTTTTACGAATATTGTAAAGAGGCTGGTATGAGCGATGAAGAAATGGATTTAATTTGTCGCCCTTTGACGAATGCTGTAAGGAAAGCTGCAATTAAAAGGTGGACAAGGGTGTTTCTATTTCTGATTATGGTAATTGCCATCGGATACACGGTGAGCCAGACTGATACATTCCAATGGCATGCATCGGCAGTTGCTCGTATCGTGCTAATAAAATTGTTACCTATATGGGATTGGACACCTTTGTATTACAATAAATGCATGATCGAGAGATCTCAGCCTCAAAATGTGGATGGTGGTGTGTCAACTGCGGATTGCATAGCCTGCGAGGCAGTCCGTGAGTATTTCAAACGAATTCTAAATTAAAATCACTTCAGTGACACTAAATTTAATACTAACGATACAAAAAGTTTTTATAAAAATCAAGGAGCTTGTACGAACACAGAGCGAGTAAAATAGGAGAACTTTAAGCCTTGTGAAGTTCTGTAGTTCAGTAGTTGATAGACCATAAGAACATATGTGGATCTATTTATTGGTAGACGATGTCTTAGCCGCCAAGGATTTTAAGTAAAAATCACATATATATTATGATACATTGCTCACGGGCGATAACTTATCTAATAAATTTGTTTGTTTCCGTAACTAATATCAATTTATAGCAGTCGTTTTCAAATTTCGAAGATAACCTACTCCTACTACTATGACACAAAGAAACTGTTTTATTTTTCATATTTTGCATTTTGTCTTAGGTACATGTTGAACGACTTATCTGCAAAATGTTTACCATGTACTAGTCAATTGTATTAACAACATATATTATTTTCCTTTACAGGAAACATAGCGCGTTTGTCTGATACATCTTACAACGAAGTTTTTAATCACCATTTACTACGCGGAGCGCCAGTCGTCGTTATCGATGCTCATTATGACTGGTCGTCACGAGCTGAACTTAACTTGACAAGTCTTATTAATGACGACGATCGACTTCGTGACTCGGTCCCTTGTAGGATTCTTACCAATATAAGAATAGGTCGTCAACCCATGGACTTAGAAGAAATAGTTTCCAGAATAACAAATACAGATATCCCGAGTTGGTTTGTCCACTTTCAAAACTGCGATATTAGGGCTGTAAAATCATTCAGGATCCTCGCTCCTAGGCCTTACTTCTTATCCCCTCATATTCCTCCCTCCCACTTTAACTGGTTACTTCTATCTAAGAACTACGATACTCATAGGTATAAATATTTAGAATTTGACATTGGTCTAATAATAATGTCGCAATTGAAGGGAAAGACCTTCATTCAGCTAAGACCACGTGCTCCTTGCGAAGAAGATTGCTATACCCTCAACTTTGAGTTGACGGAAGGCGAAACTCTTGTGTTGGCAAATTCTCTATGGGAATTCGAGTATTTACCCGGTAAAGGTGAAAATGTTGCTATGATAACTGAAACCGATTGGATTGAATCTTAATATCTGTAGATAACTTGGTGTGAATTGTCCCTCGTTATTAGATAAATTAATGTGAAATATGTACCGGCTGTACAGTTTTCTCTTTTACGTTCCTATATATATACGATTTAAATGAATAGATAAATTAATGCAGACGCTATTCACGTTAAAATGCTGGGGATAAAAATACGACAACAATTTGCTAAACCTGATATTTCAAAAGTTTTTAATATCCGTAAAAAGCAAAGGTACATATTTAAGCTTAAATATAGTTATTTCTTATAAGGTTTTAAATAATGTAATCCACCATATTGTCAATGATACAAGAAAATGCTACGATTGGAGGAAAATCGAAAAAAGGTGACGTAACTATTGTGTATATAATAAGTACTTGCAGTGAACTTCACATCTTTATGGCTAACTAATCGAATTTACTAAAAAGGATACTGATGATTATTGAAAACTTGATTTTGCTCAATTTTGAAAGGCATTACTGTAACTCTTAATTACGTTACTCTTAGTTATGCATAGCGTTCCTAAAATCGGATAATTGAATGGATATTTTTCAAAAGACAGAATACCTACCATGAGTTTAAATAATTGAAATATGATTTTTGCAAGTGGAAATTAAAGAATGTGTCTACATATCATCTTTTACATTTCAAATTCACTTCAATAGAAAGTAAGTCATTTGCCATAATGGATATGTCGCATTACTGTCTTCGTAGTAATTGACGTGAATCGCCAAGCCATTGTGGAGTAAGCTGTTGGGAGATTTCCCGAAAATGGAAGACGCTGTTTATCAAAGAATTTATGTTTTCTATGGTTGGTGTTTAACGAACCGAGTAAAGCGGGACATGTGCCTGAGGGCTTTGAAGTTCGCGAAGCCCATATTCGGGCTTAACGTAAAAATTACATTCATTCCTAAATTAGAATAATACGAAACCACACAATGTATTTTTTGCACAATGATATCATAATAATATAATAATTAGTAATATGACGTAATCATCAGATTTCAGATCTGATTAAATACCTCAGTATTAAATATGTTATAACTAAAATATATATATACAAGCAAAATCGTTGTTTCACTCGGATCTTGTATAGTAAAGATATACAGTTTTACCAAAAGGTGTACCTACTCATACTTTTAGGTGGTAGATGGGTATACATATTTTATTACTGATTGTTAACACAGACAGCTTTTTTGGACTAAAATTGAACCTGAAAACCGTCTCTGTATGAATGCGTCCGAATGTCCGAAAAAATGCGTCCAATGAGAGTGGCGATAAAATAAAGCGTAAAAGTAATTAGAATAAGATGGACTAATAAAATCACGTTCACGTTATTTATGTACTAAATTATTTTAGACTACGTAGTAGTAGTAAAAATTTAAATATTTGAACTCTGCACTTTACTCCGCCTACAACAGCTATGTTCATATCGTAGTTTTTCCTATAATATTATATATATATATATACATAGTCATATTGTATATATATTATAAGGTACACTGTAGGTCCTAATACTAATACTCTGCGGAGCTCTCTAGAATCTCCTTGGAAGACAAAAACTACCTACCAACTAAGTACGATCTAATCAGGTGGTAATGGTTATTGGATAGGTGGGGTTTTCTTGATCTTGTACAGAAGGCATTCGTGCCAGACTGTCAAATGCCTAGGATATGTCGACTATGGCAGCTGTGCAGTATCTCTTCTGTTTAGATGTTTTAGCAATACAGTCAACGAGTCTTTGGATTTGTCAATTTTGTTGTTTTTGCCTTTTTGAATCAAGAGGAAGTGAAATAATTCTTTCTTTCTTTTCTTTTTAAAAAGACAACTCCCGCATTAGGAATATATCCTGGGTCGTGAGGGACTTTACAAACATACATGAAACTGACACAAAGAACAGACATACTCAGAACAACAATTTGTGGATCACACAAAGTGTCGTCCCATGTGGGGATCGGACCCACATCACTCAGCGTAGTAGTGAGTGGCGTGGCGACCGCTTAAACCATTACGCAATCCGTGCAGTCTAACTGAGACAGGCGAAGTTTGTGTGTGTTGATATGATGGGTGACTGAACGGCTGAATGGCTCAATAGACGAATCGGTGTGGGTAGCTCCCGGAGGCGTTCAATGTCATGATCGACAGCATACTGAAAAATTAAAGTGAAAAGCATTATTGTAACCGATGAATTTATGCACTTGTGTGCGTAAATACGCCGTTTACGGTCGGTCGATCGTCCAATTAGATTCGATAATTCCAATGTATTTTAAAAGCTTACAGTTTCACTAGAAAACATGAAGAATTAGTTCCCAATCAGAAGAAGCAGCTCAGAGTAGATATATCCTTGAGGACTGGAGACCGTACCAATACTGAATTTCTTGAATCGTTGATGACTGTTACCATTGAATAAGGGTAGGAAGAAAAAGGATTGTCAAAATTTATGCCACAGGACTGGTTTGACGCAATGTATAAATCATCTATATTCAAATAAGAGTATATGTAAAAAACATTTATTGTAACTTATTAAAACAAGTTTAATACTACTGAATAGATTCAGTCAGTTTTCTCCTTATGAATAGGCTTGCCGCGGAACCAGAGCAGCAAGTTTTTCAGTGACAACACGACTGGGAACATGATAGGCAGAAACAGAGGAATGTAGATCGCATACCTGGAATAGACAAAATTAGTAACTATTATATCTAACTATAAACTGTTATTTTGTACATAAACATATTATTTTGTAAACTCTTAAAGGATTATTTTTTTAAATTAAAATCCACATGGTTTGCCTTGTCCTCTGTGCCGATGTGAAAACGGTATTGAATCATCTCATATCATCGTTTTAGTAAAAAAAGCGTAGATAGCTGCTTTTAAACTTTTTTAGTACGGCGTGTACTTGACCATTGGCTATTGTATTAGGGATATTCTAGCCACTGCAATAACAGCGAGCCCTTATTAAGCTAGCCGGTCTCTACTACACTAGAAATACCAATCGCTTTAGGATTAGAGATACTCAATTCAACAAAGTACACTGTTTTAAATCACTGAATAGTACTAAAGATATACCATTGGCGTACATACAGGTGATAATATGGTAGCTAATATCAATCCATACAGTGCTGGTTAAAAGTTAAATATAAAAAAAAGCATTTACTGTAATTTTAAACATGAATATTATGTAAAACATGATATAATATATTAATATCGACTCACTTCTGATCATCCGGGAAGTATAGAAGTGCTAATAAGCTAGGCTCCATAAAGGCTGTTTCAGCATCTAAGAAAGCGTTCTGAGACGTTTTGTAGGCGTTCACGAGTTGTCCCTCTCGCATGAGATCGCTGGCGCGCTGGATGCTTTCCACGGCTGAATTGATCGAGGCTCCCACTTCATCGTTGATTACTATGTTCGATATTTCACCTGACAATTACATTCGTCAATTTTTAGTAAATTTTATCTATTTTAGAATACTAAATATCAACTTCACGATACCAACGTGACATACCTAAAAATAAACAAGTCATGGCTAAAAAATGTGATTTTAGCAAGCGAATAATTTTTTAATATAATTGAACCCGACTATAATTATTGACGAAACAAAAATGTTGTTGTACGCAATGTCTCATTTTTAAACGATTTGTTTGTTAAATCAGTTTTATTCTGTATAGGATTATATCGATGGCACTGGGCTGAAGTCAGTTCAGGTGAAGTCAGCGTAGGCCTGCACAAACAGTTACATAATCATGCGAGCATAAGTAATAAACCAAGTTACTCAACTACTCGAGATGAACTATTTGACTTCTTTTTTGTGGCACAAGCGGATGAGGTGCTATTTGAAAGATAATTCGAAAGCGCAATCACAAATATTTTCATAAGGTATTTTTTAATTGATTTTCGGTGATCTGCTGTCCTGACAAACCGGAGAGAATAATATTTTATATATATTACATTGTACCAGGCTCTTTTTGTAGTCATAAACGAAAATCAAACTAAGTGCTGTGGTAATACATGGAACAATTCAGTAGTCTAAAGCGCAAAGATCAAGATAGCGTTGTGCATATCTCAATGTATTTATAAAAATGCTTACCAAGTAACTGCGCTAAAGACTGGAGTGTCCTTTCAGCCGATGTCAGCTGCTCAGTCGTTTTGATACGGAGTAAGTTGTCAATCTCCCACTGCCTGGGTTTTACAGACCGCAAAGGTTCTAAATACAGACCTTTAATAGGTTCCTGAAATAAAAGAAAATTCCATCATGAGAATTATACATCTATTATTCATTTAAAACATTAGATCCGAATAAAAAAAACAGACATCTTTATTTATTTCGCAGGCTAGTCGCTACGTATTTCGTGTAGACCCTCTTCTGTGTAGTTGATATTACATTTTTTTTTAAATATGTTTCATTCAACTTTTAAATGTGTCTTTTAAATGTGATATTCAAATTAAAAAAGGTCAAAATTTAATTTAAATAAGTAAAATATTAAAGATTCTTAGGGACAGAGATGAACGTGTTTCATATTTTTTTAATTCTCTCTCTACGTAACTTACGGTAAAAACTAATATAGAAACAATAGAAAAGCTAACATAGAACATCAAATAATCGTGCTCGTCATACAATATTTGTCCTGTGTGGGAGTCGAACCTCTGGCTTAGCAGTCATGATCGCTAACCACTAGACCAACATGCCCGTCCTTGCTTATAATTTTGATTATTTTATATTATACTAGCTACCGTCCGCGGCTGCGCTACGTAAATTTTGTTTATTACTTCATTACACTACTTTTCTGTATCCCTCACTAAGTGTATGTAACATGACACCGTGAAAAAAAATCACTAACATATTTATGTTATTAGTAAATTGCACTTAGGATTCGTATCAAAAATAAATATTAATCGCCGTTTTACCGCATCAGTAATGCCCAGTAGTTTCCGAAGTTGCGATATAAAAGTGCCCATGATGACCCTCACGTCGGGCCGGAAGATTTGGTCTGCTGCACATTCTTTTGGACTAGGATTGGCCAATACCACTCCTCCCCATTTCGGCGACATAAATGCCTGGACAGGTGATGATATTTTCTGATCTAGAAATGATATTATTTTACCATGAGTGGAACTAACACAAAGTTTTTTTTTTAGTTTTGCAAAGGAAAATTGAATGGCCATTTTTTATTTAAAACAGATTGAGGTGCTTGGTACTTTGAGGTGTACTCATTTTAATAAATATTGCAAAATACTATAAAATTGCACAGGTACATGCATTCAACCCAATACTTCTCGGCATATTTTATAGTAAAATTCGCCGTGAGCGATAAGACCGCCTATTGTTATACCAAATGTATATAACTACAGTGGTGTACAATCAAGATGAATAAATAAAAAAATAAAATTTATATCACAGGCACTTTGTACCCTTTTTTTTATTGTTTTTTTTTTCTGTGCGAAGATCCCCTCGGATACCACCCACGGGTGGTTATGTCGGACTCTAACCGACTAAAAACCGCACGCCATCTCAGGTACCAGTAGCCGGAGAACCAGGAACCCTAGGAAGGAAATCCCTGGAACCCCGACGCACTCCGGGCCATCTACGACATGTAGATGACCCTCTCGTTTGTAGGAACCACAGTGTTCCCGTTCTATAAACTAACGGCCCTGCTTCTTTTAGGGTGACAGATGGCTTCACATGTCACCCCCCGGGCCTGCGCCTATGGAGTACGGTGGTCGTTCTAAGACCTCCGGTGCCTTAGTCTGCGGTACCTGGACCGTTCCCAGGCCTGGCGGACCGGAAGATCTCTAAATCTCTCCCGGTCCCGCTCCGCGCGCTCTCGCTACGTACCATTGCCGCACTCATGGTAGTAAGCGATAGAAATCCCACTCCGATGGCCGCCACACGCGGTCATACTTACAGCGTGGTGAGCGCCATGTCCACGGTCTGGCCATCGCAGTGGTGACACCCAGGCGTTGGCTCCTTGCGGATAAGACATGGGTGATCAACGAAGCATCCTTTCCCGGTTATCACCTGCGTCAGCCTGTCTCTCGAGCCAATCCTCCATAACGGGTCTTACCGCCGCAATAACGGCGCATCCTAGGCACTTTGTACCCTCGAATAAAACAAACCTCGATTTTTGTGATGTTTGACATTTGAAGTTTGTGATGAAATTTAGTAAATTTTACCCTGGACCAAAATTTTAGCGGAATACGGGAAACGTAAAAATTTAATTTTGTAAATTTTTAATTAATTATGTATTGATAAATATTGTAGCTTTGTTCCTTTCTACATATTTATTCTATATAATTTGCATAACATATAATTCAATTATACAAATATGATATTCTCTGTATGCGTCAAATACTTTAAAAGGGTACAAAGAAACGGGTAGAATCCTGTGTTTATAATAAACTATTTCGCCTAAACCATTAAATTTAATCTTAAAGTACCTCATAGATTGTCCTCCATTATCAATTTAATGTTCTTATTCTTTAACATGTTCAAATCAACATTAAAAGTAATTGATTTGACAATAGTTAGCTATGGCGTCACGCCTTAATATTTCACACAAAAATGTATCGTGTCTATCGTTTTGACGTTTTAAAAAATATATACAAATGTGAATTGATTTGTGTAACGGTATGCCGGTCCTTTTTTTCAGTCTCAGGCTCTGTACAGCACTCTGAGGAACTAAATCAGTACTCTGAGGAGGACCCGGACCATGTTATTTCAGGTCCCCACGGATTGACGCCGCGCGCCTAGCCAGGCCCTATCCAGGGGGGAAGCCGCTGGCCTTCTCTAACGCTTAAATTATACATTTAAAATATGAAATATATATATCTCAAAGGATATTAGTAAATAAAAAAAAAACTCACCATATTCATCGTATATAACAAGCGGTGCTTTATCACACGGCACTGCGTATAACGCAAGGTTAATGGTCGGCAGTTCAGACACGTGTGTAGCTGTGCGTTCTTCCAGCTTGGTAAGGAGTAAGTGGAGCCGGTCCTGACGGACGGCGAAATGGTGGCCCCATTCGCTGGCATCTTTTATCTAAAAATATAATCATATGTAATATAAACGTAGCTCTTTTTGTAGCGAAACCAGAGGTATAACTCAAGAAATAGGAATTAACTTCATAATACAGTAATTAAATGTAGTTTAGAATATAAGTAGGTACCTTGGACAAAGGACTGCCTTAACGCTTGCTCTCTAATGAATTATTGAATTAAATATTAAACATTATAAATTATGTCTCTGAATTTTTAAATATGTACGATTATATAAAATATAATGTAAACTTCTTGTTAAGAAAATATTATAAGCACACAAAATATTAACTACATACAGTGAATTAAATTTTATTATTTTGACATTAAGTGGAGAGAATCGAGTAAGGGTTAGGTCAGAGAACAGAGTGAGAAGAGGATGAGCGGAGTTATACGTTACAGTATACCCCTTGATGAATTAGGTGATGTTAAAAGGTTCTGCCCATAACAGTCAACTAATATTTTCAGTACAAAAGATGTTATTGTGCTTTTTAAGTTGAAATGGGTAACGAGCAATATGAAAAAAAAAAGTATATTTGTATATTTTAAGGAAGCCACTTCATACGTATATACTAAAGATAAACACAATATAAAGATTTTTTATTTAGATTTAAACAAACCTCTGTAGATTGGAAATCAAAATTCAAAAGATGTAGCCACTGCGACTTTAGTGTAAAGTTGTAGAGCACGCTGAGCTCATCAACAAAAGATCCAATGTAGTCTGAAATATTATATTGTGTAATATTATTACGATGAATTTATAAAGCTTCTAAATAACAATGTTAAGGTTATAAGACAACAAGTAAGTGATATGTTTCTAGAAATTTTCGATATATTATTTAACATACAAATATACAGAATACGAATATTAATAAACAGTAGCCAATTATATACACAGCAGCTATTTGACGTATCAAAAGCTTCTACAATAAAGATCATAGTTCATTAACACACACACACCAGGATCAACAGCTGTGACCCACGAACAAACCGAGTTATGACACTCCGGAAGTCCCAAAAAAAAATTAACTGTCTTGGGACCCGCAACGAAATTAATCAGAAGAAAATTGGAGAAGTTGGAAATATAATAAATCCATTTCTATGGTATATTAGCGTATACCCATAGATACGCTAACTACATCAACTCCGCGCCTCGCCCGCTGGCTGACCATTCGCGGACGGCGAGTGGACCTCCCGGTGACGACTGTGACGAAGTGTCGTTGGTCGGGTGTCGGGTGGATTTAATGACACATTACACATGACAACATTAGTTGAATATTGGTGTCAAATCAATTTTATCCCTCCGATTTAAAAAAATATCTTATGAGGTACCTTATGTAACTTTGTATTGGTGATATTTATGTGACTAGAAAATCGTCAAATTGAGTGTCGTCTGTTAGGGGTCTTGCAAATACAATTATATTATTACTTCGTTTTATTGACGTACCGTATGACTTAGATTTTTAGGTACCTATGTGAATAGTCAACATGTACTACAAAAACAAATTAACTATCGGTTAACGTAGTAATAAAGATTACGTTCCACGTCAATAAATTTATTTACTATTTATTGCCTTAATTTAAATTGTAAATTAGTTAATTTTTATACACAATAGACTTCCTCATCGCATAAAAATCAAGATTAGTTCTCGTTTATTTTACTAGATGGCGTTAGCAGTTTGTAAATAAAAGAATTGATGTTTTACCAACTTGTCGTTGCATGATCATCTTTCATTTAAATCCGATTGCATTTTGCTTATGGAAATAAACGATTATCAACTACATAAAGTTAAGGAAAAACAAAGCAAACATAATACTTTTACTAAAAACCATTGCTGAAAATTTAATCTGTCAATGTCCAAGCTACGCGCTATTCGAATGATCATAATTTATGTATTAAACCTGTGGTTAAAACGTATATACTCCAAAATTCTTAACGGTAGATTTTACTGATCTATTAGCTTTTGATGAAAGTCAGTCCTTTCAGTATCCATCCGAGTACGACGTAATAAAAAGCATGGCTAATAGGTATCTATTTATAGCGGTAACTTATTCTCATAAACAGTCTGTTTCCTAAAAACTCACCATAATCACTTAAGTACGATAAATTGAAAATTAACATTTTAATGACGTTTACTTAACGTGATTTGTTTTGTATATTTAAGTGTGTTCAGTAATTCAATTTCGTTTACTTATAAAGTTCCTCAAATTACAAAACATCTTACATCTTTACATAGACTGGCTAAACCTTACGAGGTAGATCAAAATAATGTAGGTACTACGAAATTGTATATCTAAAAAAGATCTACAAAAAGTCTGCGATGGTATATGTTCTATCTCCTTAGGATAACCTACAGTAACCATTTTTATCTTTTACGTATTAAAAAAGTATAATTCCTTATCCAAATAAATACGTTAAGTACGATGTGCATTTAATGTAGATCAAAATCGTCTTAAATACCATATCATTAAAACGAATATCTTAGTAGATATCAGAGATTTACAACGCGGTGGCAGCTACCGGCAGGAGCGGAGCGGGCCTTTAAATATTGTAGGTAAAGATGTCCTGTAGTATGGACTTATAATAATAGTATAATTAAGTTCTCCACGCTGACACACGCTGGCACCGGGGCAGATTGCTATTGTTAAATAAATAAGGGTGTAATACCCTTTTTTGAAAGTGCTTTAAATTTGTAAGTAAGATAAGTAGCATTTAATAAAACACTAGATCCTCAATCTGCTCATTCTCGTCGTGACATCATGAAAACAATAAAAGCAGATTATAAGAGTAAATAATTTCAATAAAACTTAGGCAAAAATAATGAGATATAATTTCTATAACTCGGCTACACCACCACCTACCGGGTCCAGTTCTATTTTTGAACCATCGGGAGAGTCACTCAGACACATACATTTTTTTTGTTAAAAACTGATTGGTGATGAAACCTAGAACTCGATTGGAGCATTACATAACGAATCCAATTGCATATGTAAATGATCGAAGCGACCTGATAGAGATGGCGTTTAGCAAAATTAATACCTTCAATAGCGTTTCCTGCATCTAGATCAACCTTCAGAGCGTCAGGTCTAGGATGAACCACTGACAACACCACATGATATCCAGCCCCTGGCGGGAACCTGATCTGGCGAGCTATATCAGCTGATTCTGAGCTTGCACCTTCTACCACTGATAGCTGATAAACTATGCCTCTTAATGCTTCCACAATCGTGCTTGAGGCTGAAATTAATTTACTCGTACAAATTAAAATAGAAAGCGCCAATATGAACAGTCATAGAATTATTATGTTGATACCTTTAGAATCTCTGAAGAACATAACTCTTTCACCAGCTAGCCACACATCTTGGAATAGCGGCTTCCTCTGCACTACGTAAAAGCTGTTATGTCGACTAAGATCAAAGTGTGATGCTACTTCTTCTACAGCTTCGTGTTCATCAGCTACTGAATCCAGGGTTGTGTGCAGTGAATGTGAGAGGATGGACTTCTGGATCCTGAGCTTTATTATAGCTGAAATTATAGTAAATACAGAATTAAACATACGCATAATTCGGTGCTTGACTTGACTTGACTCTGTCAAATTAGTTTATAAATTCTAATATTTAGATTGACGACTAAAATTATAAGGTGTGGTTAACTTATACGTATACTTATAGACATTTAAGATCTATTTAACTGCGTTAAGGAAAATCTGGTTTTACCTATTCAAGATTTAACAATAACAATGAGATGGTTTATATTATGTAATGGCAATATCCGTTATGTAGTAGTAATAATACCTAAAAGAGCTTTAGACAATATTAGAGTTGAAAGGAGAACGGCAGATTATGTACCCCTAGTAATAAATGATGGACGGTTATGAGATTTTTACCGTTTTAAAACGAGTCATCCTAACTATTTTCATGTAATTATCGTAACGTATCGTGGCGTAGTGGTTTATGTGCTATGGGTTCGATCCCCACATGGGACAACACATTGTGTGATAGACAAATTGTTGTTTTGAGTCTGGGTGTCCTTTGTGTCCGTTTTATATATGTTTGGTCCCTCGCGACACAGGATTTATTCCTAGAATTGCAAAAAAAATCATGTTTTTAGAACTGCCAAAAGTAATTAATTTTTTCTCAAATAGTTGGTACAGCTGCAATAACTAAACGTTCAAGTGTTGTTAACAAACGCATTCCTACGATTTTTGAACTTGACATGCATAAAATATAAATGACATGAAGAACGATATGTTTACATCGAGCTTAATGAATAAACTCACTAGTTTATTAAGAAGTTAAAAATGAACATTTCTTTATTAATATGTTGACTGTACAGTAAATAAACAGATTTGATAGGACAACATTTTATAGACGGATCAAAAAAAATTTTGAAAGATATCTAAGTAACTTGTTGACAGCAATGACAACTCATTTGTGACAGTCAGCTGTCATTGGTATCGACTTCAGTACAGCCTATATGCAAACTACTAACTGAAAGAACTTTTGAACGCATAGTTCCAAAAATCTGGCAATCAAAACTGTAATTGTTATTACGAACCAAATAAACGCAACAATAATCCCTGAAATGAGATACGCAAGGCGGTACAAAAGCCTAATACATGCCTGCCATTGTCCTTTAAAGTTATTAAAATGTGACAAAGGTGAAACACTACTATTATATGTTATAGGTTCGTGGAAAAGGAAAACAATAAACATTTGTACATATTAGCACGTAGGCCACACGTAAGGGAATAATTTCAATAGTGCGTCGTTGTTAATCATATTTAAAATATTTGTAGAAAACACTAAAATTATCACAGCAGATTTTGTGCCTGTCAAATCCACAATTTTCAATTTTTGTACATACGGTAATGTCCTTTTTAAATACGCGAGCGATCAAATTCCTTCTTTAATTAATTAAAATTAATAATCTATATTCTATAGTCTATAGTCTTTATAGTTTATAGTTAGGTGAGCCTGGTAAAGTATGAAGGAAAAGTTATTCACTATTTCATGTTAATGTTAACATCTAATAAAATTAAATAGTCGTTTGATTGAATAGTAGTTTGAATACATATTATATAGGTAACGATTCGGTAACTATTATTTAACTATTACTGGGTAATAGGTAGAATAACCTAATCACATCACACACACATCACATGAACAGTCTTTAAAAGTCAACTGCTGGACATAGGCTTCTCATTGGAAAAGAGGTTTTGGCCTACTATTGAGAGTTACCATGTAACCAGTTACCATATTCATGCTACTGACTTCTCATAGGTTTTGGCGTAATTGACACTTGTACCATATTTCAATTTAATCGGTATAGTACCTACATTCGAAGTAAATTATCTATTACAGAGAGACAAACAGGTGGTCCAGTAATCATATAAGGGGGTTCCGTTGTTCATTCGCACGTTCGGCACACTATAAATAAAATAAACCAAATTCTAAATCATAATGATAATGATTTAGAATTGATTTTCTATGCTATTAAGATATTAATCAGGTTTAGAGCCTTCCGCCTTAAGGCTGGCCATACACGGACAGTTTGAGCAGTTAACCAATGATCAACATACACGGACCGCTCGTGCAGTCAATTTCTGCTGCTTGAAGCTGCCATTGATAACTGCTGCAGCAGTGGGTACCAACTGCTCGAAAAGTTATAATTTCCATTTTATTCGAATCAGTAGCAACGTGGATTTTGAGAAAGAAGCTCCACTACTGCTACTTTTGCTCAGACGGCGACGGCGGCAGCGTAGAAATAGAAAATTGTAGATTTATCCACAATTAGAATTTGATCATCACCATGACATCATGGAGCACTTGATTAAGTTCTCCGTGATAATATCGTAATCAAGTGTTAATTCAAAAAATATGTGATTACTTGTTGTTGGAACTTAGACTTGACGAAGAAAAGTTTTTAAATTAGTTAAGAATGTCCATCTTTACCTTTGATGACTTGTGTCACATACTCTCAAAAACATTAAACGTAAAGATACTGGAGACTGAATGAAGAATTAAAGTAGTCGCAACTGCTCGATCGGTGCCGTGTATATATATCGATACTGGCTGTTTGAAGCTGTCAGTGTATGGCCGGCCTAAGATTTATTCGCGCGTTGCTTCCTTATTTTGAGTTACTTGTTCTCAGTAATGAGCAATAAATTACTTCGATAGATACGTTTTTGATGGCTAACTAAACAACGCAAATCATCAAAGGGCCTACCTGGTGGTAAACCTTTACTGTAGCGTATGGTATAGACATTTGTATCGACAGGGGAGTCACGAATTGCCAATCCTGCAAGAAACTACACATTTGTAGAAGTCGCTAGAAGAAATATATGAAATTGAACGGGGATCAGCCAGTTTTTCTTTAGAGGTGAATGACGTAGTTCCGCTAGTTTATCGTAGGCTGATGATATTGCTATTATACTAGAGGTTTTCCAAACGCGGGGACTAGGTGTGATCACAGCACTTCAGCACGTCATTAAAATCAACTAGGGATCAAATTAGAGGATCCCAAAAAATATATAAAATAAAGTCCTCTATCGTTGTCGTCCAAATAAAATTTATGAGAACTTACTTGAATCTTGAAAGGCTTTTTCTATCAGGTTTGCTATTTCACTGGCAGTTGCGTCATCATTAGCTAATACAGTAAGTTCTGCTGTGATCGTATGGGACAAGGAGTCGAACGAGTTGATCTTGTCGTATGGTAGCGACACTCTGTGAAAGAAGATTTTAGAACAGTAGAGAATATATTTTATTTGCATTGATTTTAGGTACATGAAATAGCGGTGTTAACAAGTTTTCTCATCCAAACATTAATTTAGATTTCAATTCATAATAGTAATATAGATACAATGGTCAATATAATTATGTAAGCAATGTAAATTGAAATTAGGAAAATAAATTAAATGTCAAATTAGCAATAATGACAAAAATAATAATCTAAAGTAATTTCAGAGTATCATTTAAAAAGTTATTAATTTACTTTGTTTCATATTCAAATTTTAAAGATTTGTGTTTATTTCTGTAACAAATCTAAACTGATATTATAAATCTAAAGATTTTGTTTGTTTGTTTGGATGAACTCGCTAATTTCAGGAACCATTGGTTCGGATGGAAAAAATATTTTAGTGTTGGATAGCCCATTTATCGAGAACGGCCATGGGATATATAACATCACGCCACACACACCAATAAGAGTCGACGCTCAATAAATAATGTTACAAGAATTAGGGCAAAACCTATTCCTTTTAAGAGAAGCAGACGAAGGTGATCAGTTAGTCGAACATAAATTACTTATATTCCAGAAGTGGTGTATGTTTTACCAATCTTTTTGAAGTCCGAATGAAACATATATTAAACAGATTGACGAATGATTTTATAACGTTATATATAACGTTATAAAATCATTCGTCAATCTGTTTATGTCATCCAAATTGATTAGAATCCACTGCTTACGTCGAATTTGGTATACAAATCAATGTTTGGTAATCAAATACTGTGACAAATATGTGCGCATAAAATATGGAACCACTTTTTTATACTAAATATGGAACCACTTTTGGGGACTGATTTACAAATGTGGACACTTTATTGGGACTCATGAAATAAAAGTGTTTATTGTGGGGCTTCTAAATACATTTCAAGATATTTTTAAAACTATTTAAGTAAATAGTGCCAATGACCCTTTTCCTTCTAAACAGTTTATAATTTAACAGCAAATACAAATGTATGATTTCATTTGCACTTGGGTCAGTTGACACAAAATGGGTCACGTTTGTACATATAAGGCAATTCGGCGTTTAAATAACCTAAAATTTCTAGTCTAACAATACATTGTTAAGAGCACGGACATTGAGATCACGTGTTATATTTAAAATCTAATATATTTTTAGTAGAGATATAACTTCTGTATATTTCTACAATTTGCAAGACAGACTTGTGACAAAAACAAAGGGTATCCTTTGTTTTTTATGGTATTACTGGCAAACGAACAAATAGGCCACCTGATGGGAAATAACAACAGCTGCAGCTACTGCTTACTCCGGTTGAGCAAGCCCATATTTGCCGAAGCATGGATCTCACTCACACGATATTTTCAGTTCTAGTTCATTGCTTTTTTGCAACAAGAACATGATAAAGGAACGAATTTGTGATAATGTTTATTTGTTTGGTACCAATAATGACTCATTTTAAAGTATTACTACTAATGTTAAAAGTCAATAGTTGTGAGACAGTTATTATCCGTGTATAAATATGTAATTGTTTTTAAAGTTATTACTTTTTATTTTGTTATATACGATGATGTGTGTGTCTTGGAGGTCTGTCAGAGTCCACTCTGATAACAATTGTAGGCCTCGTTTTCGACTGTGAGCTTTATCGGTTTTATCTAGTTTCATCGCCGCCATGTTGGCGAGACGGGTTGTGGTATGGGGTTTGCGTCGTTTTCTTTCTTTGTGCGGTGCTGTTGTCCTGCTTAGTTTGCTCCCTTAGTCGAGTCGACAGGACATACGACAACCACGGGATGAAGAGGGGTGGCGATTCTCCGTATTCTTAGTCCGTATACACATGGATATTTCATATAACTTAATATTGGATGTTATGCGTTACGGTTAATCGGTTGGCAGCGTTATGCCTTAAGTAGATATGCCATTTTACTAAAAGATTATGTATGAAACCATAGTTATTGTAAATCTAAAATACTCATACTTATTTCTAAGGTTTCTCCAAAATTGTGTAACGATCAATACCAAACATTTGAATATATTGAAACGGTATTCTTATAATATTAATTTTATATTTAGATATTTTCTGGAAGTTGAGGCCAATGAGTGTCCCAACAGGACAGTTTGCTTTTAAGTGTAGGTATAATACAATCATAGATACAGATAGAAGATTAATAGCGTACAGCTTATAATATAAGCTATACGTATTGTACACTATGTATAAGAATAGCTTTTTTTAATAATTGTTAACTTTTCGAAAAGAATGAACAAGCCCAAAAATACTCGTCATCATAGACATTTTTTACTCTTTGTTATATCAATTAATGATAACATTCAGCTTTATGAAATACTTACTGCGCAGTGCTACTATTCAATATCCTTCTCTTTAAGAGTTGTTTGTATACTTGTGATACATTAAGAAAATTCTTTATAGCCCTTTTTTATCAAATACTAGTTTTAGCCCGCGGCTCAACCCGCATGTTTGTCGGCTATCGCGGGCTCCATAATCCAATATCTCCATTACAATATTGTAAAAATCGTAATCGAAAGCGTAACAGACAGATAGAGATACTTTGCATTTATAATATTTGCACGGACTCACAACATTGAAAGAAACTTAATATACTTATTGCGTAATTCTCAGATACTATGGAGTTTCCTATTTTGTTTACCTAAATCTTTAGATCCATTAGTGTGTCGAGTGCACTATAAGAAAGTACTGGATTAAACGAAGATATTTATTAGACATAGAGAACGCCTGATGGTCAAACTACGACCATTGTAAGATAAAACTATTCATTTCCAGTATTAGCTGGACAATCATTGTATAAACTTTAAAATGACAGGTCAACTGGACATGTATAGGTTGATGTAGCTGTTATCACATATTTTTTACACGCTTTTATTAGCTTTAATTATTGTGACTAACAATGTAAACAAACCTTGGATAGTATTACCTCTATATCGGAGTATATTTTGAAGATTATAAATTAAAAAAAGTTGATTTTTTTACACAGTATAAAATAAAGTCGCATTTATGTGTGACGGGTTTTAATGCAGGTTTCACCAATAGAGAGAGTGATTCCAGAAGAAGGTTTATATGTATAATGAATGCATATTATAGGAGAGAAAATCCGAGAATTTCAAAGATTTGTTGTAAATAACATGTTTTTTGTGCGCTATCATTGCAAACGCTGGCTAAACCTTACGAGATAGACCAAAATAATGTACTACGGAATTGTATACTTTAAAAATATCTACAAAAAAGTCCTCGATGGTATCTGTTTATCTCCTAAGGATAACCCACAGTAACCATTTTTATCTTTTAAATATAACAAAAAAATTATGGCTTATTTACGAAGCTATTTTAAACAATACATTATTATTCCTTATCCAATAAGATACGTTGTGCATTTAATGTAAATTAATATCGCTCTTTCCAACATATCATTAAAATAAATTATATTAGAAGATATTAGAGGTTTAAAATGCGGGGGCCTAACGACCGTCGATCAGGTATGGCAGGATCGGAGCAGACCTATAAATATTGTATTTTTAGAGATGTCCTGTAGTGTAGTGCTACTACTACTTTTGCATCGATTGAGCTCAAATTTTAACACGATATACAACATGCTTCAAAGATAGTTTTTATCTATTTTTTTCAACCACAGCGAAACGTGGCATTATACAGATGGTACTGTTTTAATTAGTAGTATTACATAACATTATACAAAATTATGTGTATGCCCATTTAACATCGAAAACTTTTGACCAGGTACTGTATATGTTTGGATACATCACACATCACATCAACAGCCTTTAATAGTCCACTGCTGGATATAGGCCTCTCCTAAGAAAGGAGGTTTTGGCCTGCTATACCACGCTGGCCAGACGGGTTGGTACAGGATTTATATTTATATTTAATTTTGATTCTTAGTCGATAGTGGAACTCACAACGGCACAAATGAACCGGTTCGGAGTGATACCATAGCTTCACACAGAACCGGTATTAAGCAATTTTTTCTTTACTTCCACCAAATGAGAGGTTACCGGAGAATAAACCAACTCTTGTCCTGCAGGGCCATTCTCTAAGGAAACAGCCTTGCGTGCAGTACTTAGTTTGAAATTGAATTCCAAACGAACTTAGCTTGAAGTTCGACGCTACAGCGCTGTACGCAAAGCTGTTTCTTTAGAGAATAGCACTGCTGGTTCTATGGTGTGACTTGTGACGCTTGAGTTGTAGTTTTCTATGGGCGGCGATAATCACTTTCCATGAGGTGACCCGTCTGCTCGTTTGTCCCCCCCATGTTACAAAAAAGGAAACGCCTTTAGTGTGCTTAGTATTGATGGTCTGATAATAAAGATGGAGAGTTAAACTGTTTTTTGAAGCGAATATGCTCTTGTAGTTTTACTAAAAGATAATTTATATAAATTTATACTATCTTGTCTTGAGTTTCAAATGTTAGTTTTGTACATTTCTTCAATTATACTTTAACCTGATCAGTATTTATATTCTCATGTTTTTCCAAATTATACACAATACTTATTTAAATAACTACAGGTTAAGTGAATGACGAAAATACCGTGTTTTTCCGGGCAAATGCCAATTGGGTGTAAGTAATCTTATATTGTAGCGAAATCTTTTATATAAAACGCATTATCATAATATAAATTATGCATGACAATAAAATGTTATCAGAGGTCAAAGGTCAATTAGGTTAATAACTCAACCTTAAATATTTGGATATATTAATCATTACTCGTTATCACGATTATCGGTCGGAGGGTAGCTTTTAGAGGTTTATTGAATGTCATTGTATACCTATGAAATGATAATGCTCGTATTTATAACATGTTCGATGTAATTATCTTTGCGACAAAGTACCTAAATGAAGCGTCTCCATTTAACACTGCACGATTTTTCTTCTATTTGTATCTTCCTCCGAGCATTTTTCCCAAACTTTACAGGGAAGTGAACTATATTTATTATTTTATATTAAAACAGTTTCAAAAGAAAACCACAAATAATAGTAATAGCTAAAATAATCATATAGTAATTAAGAATGTTGAAGATTCTGGACAAATTGTCGCACGGTGATAATATTTACAAGTTTTTATGAGGTCTCAACTTTTAAAATATTATCGAAGACTGCTGGATTATGCACGCGTTTAAAAACGTGATTAACTTTATATAAATATCGACAGAGCCATTGAAAAAGACATTAATATATAAGTTATTAATACGTAACTATATCAGTTTGATATTTTGATTGTGTTGCTTTTTATGTTTTTAGGTATTTCGATGTCATTTTGTATACAAATCAAAAAGAAGAATTTATTTGAAATTTAGACTCCGTGTGTTTGTAAACAATGTAATCTAACATATAGAGCTGATAACGGTCGGAATATAAACTAAAACATGACATCTTTTATTGTGCGGAAACCCCAACTGGTAACAGATCTAACGGTAAAGTCACGGTACAATTATAATAGTACCGTGGTAAAGTTGTATGTCGGAATTGAATCGATTAAGAGAACATGGTTTACACACATAGTTAATCAAAGGCCAGCACTCATGGAGATCATTCTAAGCTAAGATGCGTCTAGTGAGTTAGCAGCGGGATAAGAGAGATATTGTCCTCTCTTTCTTGTTGCGCCACTTCGCAAAACAAGAGAGCGGAGTCCCACGTTAGATCATTTTGGGCCAATGACACAATTATGGTCTCAGGCTAAAAATTCTTCCCACACTTATCGTGGTCGTACATGATGCCTATACTCGTTGGTAAAATTCTGAATAATATTTTGAAACGACGGTAATTTTACCATTAATATTATTATCAGTCTGGTCTTCATCATCATCGTCATAGACCCACCGCCGTTCACTGCTGAACGAAGGCCAAGACCAGGCCGAATAGGAGAGAAAATTTTACAATAATTCATGGGGTATAGCCTGCAGGGAGGACGTCAGAAGCCGCCGATGCGTTTCTGGAGCTCCTCCAAGCTACTGAGGTATGCCGCCGAGGGGTTTAGTGGGTAGACCGGTTCTCATAGAGTCGTACACAATCCCTCCGTTTCCCCAAGGGAGGGTATGGTGCGAAAAGCATTCCCCGCGTTAAAAAAAAGTATCTCATACTCACATTTTTGCCTAAATTAACTTAGAAAATAGTATCACCGACTTCAATACATCGACCGAAAGCTACATCATCATAAATTGTAATGAACTGAATTTTTCTTTCTTTAATTAATTTTGATAAGAACACAACTTCACTATCGTTTCAACCGTTTTTGTATGGTTTTGGGGGCCAAACAGCAGACGCGTCACCTGAAAGCAATTGACTACCGCCGCCCATGAACACCTGCAACTCAATATACACCTCCTCCCCAAAATCCAAGGGGTTTGGGCTCGGGTAACCTCACTCACTCGGTTAAAAGCAGCGAAAGAATTGTCTAACACCTGTTTCCTGTGATCGAGAATGAAGTTTTGTTTTACAATTAAACAGGAGGCCATTTTCTTCATAAGTTCCATGAATTCCCTGTCTAAACGTAACATGAAATGTTAAATATATGCGTACCTGTAAACTTCTGTTGTCTTCCACCATAGTGGTAGGCCAATGATAATGAGCACCCCCACAAAAGATGCGCTCGCCCACATGCGGTTGTACTCTGTAACAAAAAAAAAATTGTATGTGTTCATAAACGTTTTCCTATGTTGCTGCGATTTTATAAACCATTTATTTATTTTATGAAAGAGGGGCAAATGAGCAGATGGGTCAACTGATCGAAAGCGTCATAAGCGCGTTGCCGGCCTTTGAGGAAGGAGTACGTTCATTTCTTGAAGATTTGAAGGTCGTATCGGTCCGGAAATACCGCAGACAATAAATTGTTCCCCAGGTTGGTTGTGCGAGGCTAAAAGTGTCTTGAAAAGCACACAGTGGTGGAGTGCCAATTATCCAAGTGGTGGGGGCGAAAATTTTGCCGTGTGGAACGATGGCGGAAAGTTGCGGCCGGTACTACTCCGAACGATTCCTCGGAGCACTCTCCATGATATATACGATAGAGAATGCGGAGCGAACACTTACGCGAACGCTACATCTCTACGTAGCGCCAAGGGATCGAGCCGGTCGGAGATCTTTCGGCTATCGACGAGTTTTTATTTAGTTCAATTTATATTTTTAGGGTAAGTAAAGAATCTTCCAGGTTTCTTTGTGAATGTATTTTTTTCCCCATTACTATATTTGCCACACTACAGAATAATCTTTCGCGGTAAATATACGATACGATTTCATCGTTCTATCTATACAAGTGGACAGCATTCAATGTTAAAACAAAAAAAAATGTAACAATATCGTGTGCCAGGCATCCATTAAAGCGCAGCGTAAATTGTGCTCAATTTATGCTCATTCTCTTATTTAACACCTGACCTGACTCATCATTGGTAGTATTACTACACTGCGGATCATTGACAAACGGGAAAAAATCATCCGGTAAAATTTCTATGCACTTGCAGGTCTGTTTATATAGGTTGATAGGAATTTACCTCGAATGTAAATCGAAAGCATACAAATATTTTAAAGATAAACGTATGGTTTTCATTTTGGAACTCTTCCATTTCTCATTGAATATTCGTAAGATTTATTTTGATTCAATGCCGAATGAAGGACACTCAATGAATGCTAATAGGAAAGCATTGCAGATAAACTGAACCATTAATCACGCCGAGTCATTGATTTTAAGTCGAGTTCACATTATCACGGTAGATTTATTTCTTCATGAGCTTATTAAGCTTTCATGAGTTTTCTTAGTGTTATTTTAAGATAAGAACGGTGGAACCTGTTACTTCATATAATAAAACAACGAATCAAAAAATAATATCACATGTACCTCAGAAAACAGTGTGGAGAATTATATTAGGTATATACTTGAGCTATCATCTTAGGCAAAAGATAGGTTGTTAAGGATATTTTTAAAATTCATAGACAAGTTTACTGTAATACAACTCAATAAAGCTAAATCAGAAGTGCTCAAAATTATTTGAGCACTTCTGATTTAGCTTTATTGAGTTGGTATTAACCAAACTTAAAAAAAAAGCTACAACATAAAACATGTTCAAAATATCAACATTTCTATCACACCTGAGCACATTAATAGTCTTCAAACAAACCTTACATAGCCGCACACTTATCAGTGTATGTTAATCTTGCACTCACATGTTTTCAACTGCTAATATAATACAAGAAGTATCTCACATTGTTAGTATAAAAACATGTACAAAAACATTTAAATATTTATTTATCTGTTTACACAGGGCCAAGAAAGCCTACAGTTGCAAACTTGTAACTTTTATTTTAAAGTATTAAGAAGTACGTGACAATACTAGATTCAGTTGTAAGTGCAATAACCTCGTTATCACTGTAATTAAACTTAAATATTTTAGACGTATCAGTGTCTACCATAAGCCTATGACACAGATTCAAAAAGATAGAATACGTGTTTTACTGTCTGTTTCAAAAATTTGACGTAGATACTCAAAGATTGAATATGCTTCAGTATCTTTCATAAGTGAGAAATCTGGAATAGAACCTCAAAAGGCTTAATGGTCACTTCAAATCGCGTCTACAACAAAAGCGCGGCGATGGCGGGACATTTAATTGACTTTTGTTGTATGAGACACGACGATGCGCCATAATTGTCCGCGCTCCCCAGACCTCATTTTCTAGAAATATAAGGTTTCTGTTTCTCTTTCCAAACAAGGTAAGAGCGGTCGCCGAATATGAAATTTGAATTATTTAGCAGTTATAAAAGAATTAACTTACCACAACACTTTCGTGAGAAAAAGCGCAAGACGGGATTTGAAATTTTACGATAGGGCGTAATTAAAAAATCTGAGGGATCTTGACAGCACTATTAGTAAGTATGCGTGTTAGTTTTTTGAAAAATAAAACTATTCGGTTTAATCTTTCCTAGTCACTAGTGATAAACGATCACAAACCTCCTATTTTGTTTAATTAAGCTAAAAATTGACGACCTGTCTCATTTGACATATCATAAATAACCCCCAAAATCAAACCAAACATTTCATGTGTTTATTTGTATATTTTTTATTTATATAGAAATGAGCCCATATTACTACTTACCATTAAATTTTGGGGCTTAGCTGGCGCAATCGTTATCAGGCAAGAATGCAGTGTCATTCACATTAGGAACCGGTTAGAACCGCATCAGTCCCCTCTTTAAATTTCACATTTAATACAAATATATGTTATCTCAATCAGGCTATGCTTATTAAGGCTTTAATAAACATGGAAACAAAGCAATGCCTCTTTATATTTATTTAGTCTTTATGATGCATAAGTATATTTGAAATGAGTTGATAATGTTATTGCATTGTCAATAAGTCTTGTGTGGGAAAATAAGAAAAAGTAGGTTATTTGATGACTGAAGTTTTTTATTATAAATAGTGTGAATTTCAGAAGTAGCAACTAAATGAGTCAGAGAAGAGAACGGGTTATGAATAACATTGGAGGTGTTCCTTTATCTATATATGTATGTTATTTTACACACATTATATTTGTTATTAGTCAAACTACTCCAACGATATAGAAATCTGTTAGCGCTTGGCATAAGTTGCATAATTTAAAACAATGATTATTCTGTAGATCAATATGTAATCAATTTCCTGTACTATCCTTCTAACCTTGATCAACGCAATTGACAGAATGCTGTACAGCGCTGTTCTGTGTCAGTGCGTTGATAGAACAGTATAATGCTACTGTTTCATTCGTTTCTATTACTCCTATTATTATTACTTTATCTTTAACGTACTTACTTAGGCGCTACTGCAAATAACTGGTTTGGTTGACGTCGAAATTATTCTCGATAATATGCATATCGTTAGTTTGTTAAGTCATTACCGGTAGCATATCGTCCATTTAAAACGACTTCTACTGGTTGCCCTTGGTATGAATTGCCTTTTGTAACTATAAATCTACGAAGGAGAGCCATGCGTTGGGACATATGGGCCGGCTTCACCGTGATGGCACGGCCTTATTGTGAAAACTGTCGTCAATACTTCTTTCGTTGCTTTTCACCGAGGAGTGAGGTTACGGGAGCCCAAACCCCCCTCCCCCCGATCATTGGAGATATATATATATATATATATATATATATACATATATACATACCAGGACTGTTATATAATATGTTAATATTATAAATGTAAAAGTTTGGATTGATAGAGGGATATTTTACTCCATTACGTTAGAATGGCTGAATGGAGTTGGATGCAATTTGTTACAGGTATTATACGTATTATTGTAGTCTTATATTATTAATCGATCCAAGTAGCGTGCAAGAAGAGGTTTATGTCCAGCAGTGGACTGCAATAGGCTGATGATGATGATGATTATAGTCTGGAATACGACATGGGCTACTTACTACTTATCTTGGAAAAACTGATTGACAAAATAGACATTATCGCGTACAAAGCCACGGTTAAAAGTAAAAAAAAATAAGTTATAACTTGATAACCGAATGAAGAATTTGTTAAAGATGTATAGGAATATACACAATTATTATAAGTCTACGCAAGCCAATGATATTATATACAAACAAGAGGTAGATACGCCACCATAGTACAAAACGCAATTATCCTAATTAGGACTATTGTGAGCGAGCGCGCGTAGCCACTAATTATTTCAAGAAAATTCATAAAATACCTTCCTGTGTATTCCGAAAGTGCACAAATTACGACAAAAAGGTAAACAAAGATAAAGGAATATCATACTACAGATAAGTGTATAGATTTTCATAGTTATATTTAAATTAATCTATAAATACAAATAAATCAAATTGAAGTGGGTACCAGCTAGTCTATAATGTAAGTATAGTGCTACGGAACAAATATTTTGTGTGTGCCGTATAATTATAACGTATCTTCCTTAAAATGTCATTGACGTAAGCCTAAAGCATAGGCGGTTCGGTGGCGAGTGGTGACATCTTTGATTGTTACTAAACATTTCATTTCCACTATAAGTATCGAATTCGATCGCCAGTAACTGTCAATAGGCTGTTATGGCATCTGTGCCATTCAACTGTATGATAAACAATGTAACCTTCAATAATAGCGAGCTTATTGAATTAGCAGATCTGATAAAATCAAGATTATACAAACACTTTAAAAATCGTGATGTTTTGACCTTAGGATACTGACTTGTTTGATGATAGTATATGTACATTTTTGCAAGTAAGGTAAAGTAATGGTGTGAATTTATAAGACCAACAATATCAAATCTTGTGTAAATTTTATCGTAACACTAGCTGACCCGGCAAACGTTGTTTTGCCATATACATTATTTTTAGGAAATATTGAAAAAAAATTTAGGGCTGGGTCACCCTTGTTTTTGGGGGTATGAAAAATTGATGTTGGCCGATTCTCAGACCTACCCGATGTGCAAACAAAATTTCATAAAAATCGGTCCAGCCGTTTCGGAGGAGTATGGTAACTAACATTGTGACACGAGAATTTTATATATAAGATTAGATCATAAAAAATATTTCAGTTTATTACTCGCATACGATACTCAGGAAAACAGAATACATACGTAAACCTCATAAGGTTTACGTATGTTTTCTGTTTCCTTATGACTAACTATAGTTAGAAATAA